TTTAAATGTTAGAAAAATAAATAAATAAAGACATCTTGGCATACTAAAAGGGGACGTTTCTGTAGAATGACCAGTATAATAAATCAACAGATCCTACTTACCATTATGTGTCTGCGGATATCTAGGGATTCAGAAGGGCATCGAGGCAGTGAAGTAGAACCATGCAATCCTCGGGGAACCGATCTTGCAAGGCATCTATCAGATGTTGAACATAGCGTTCCCTGGATTTTTTGAAAGCTTGAATGTATGCGGTCGCTTGAATTGGTCACTTTGACATCCTTGTATGTGTGCCGTCTTTAATTTCATTCAAACGGTACAGCCTGTTGCTTTATAACATAGCCAAAGGTCTGTGTATTTTTGCTTTATACATTTTAGGCTTATTCTCTAATTCAGATTGTGTTAGAGGGGCGGGATTATTAGGCAATTTTAATCTGACAATTTGACCGGAGAGATTTAATTTTGTCGGACATTTCCTTTTTTCCCCGGCCAATGTCCGGTAATTACCGGACAACGGAAACCCTGAGCTAGAATCTTTCCGTCTCAACCACAGCCAGTTACTGCTCCTTTCTGCTGCTTCAGATAAGTTCTTTACCGTGCGACGCAACTCTTGGCCACTGAATCCGACATCTCTGAGGAACCGGGTTGTAGAGAGTGCCACAAAACCTCGACAACCCACTTCCACTGGATAAACTTGGACTCTCCATCCTCTCAGTGGCCAGATGAGCATACCGCAATTTCTTCCTCTCATATGCTTCATCTACCGCATCCTCCCATGGCACTGTTAGCTCTATCAGCTGAACAATGCGTGCTGATCCAGACCACAAAACAATATCTGGTCGTAAGTTAGTGGTAGCAATCTCAGGTGGAAAAAATAAGCCGTTGATCAAGATCAGCCAGCATCTTCCAGTCCCTAGCAGTTTCCAGTTGTCCTGGGCGAGAATTGGTGTTAACACCTTTTCTTGGTGGTTGCTCGCCTGGGCGGAGGAATATTGTCTTCTGCGTGTAATGTTTGGCAGGCGGCAACTTATTGGTCATACTACACTTGCCCTCCAATGCTAAAGCCAAACATTGCAGTACTTGGTCATGGCGCCAAGTAAACCGACCCTGGCTAAGAGCCAGCTTACATCCTGTCAGAATGTGCCTTAATGTGGCAGGTGATGAACACAAAGGACAAGAGGGATCCTCTCCTACCCAGAGGTTTAGGTTCTGCTGTGATGGGAGGACATCATATGTTGACCTTATAAGGAAACTGATCCTACTCTCTTCCATTGACCAAAGGTCTTGCCAGCCCAACTTGCGTTGTTCCACACTCTCCCATCTCATCCACTCTCCCTGCTTGGCCTTGTAAAATGTCCTTTATACACCTCATCCTCTCCTCCTGCTTTCGCACCTCGTTGACTACCAGCTTCCTCCTTTGAGCTGGGCCTGCCTTGTGCCATTTAGGAGGAGCTACACTAAGCCCAAACCCCCCTCTTCCATGCTGTACCTGTTACAGATTTCTCTGCTGACCACTTCCTACCAGTTTTTAACACAGGGGCTGCCTCCCTTACACATTTGTCACGTGACTCTACTAAGGTCATTTCCAGCCTGACCTTGGCACACTTAAACTCCTCGGTTAAAGCAGAGACTGGCAGCTGTAATATTCCTTTACTATAAAGTCCCACTCTCCTGAGGCAGCGTGGAACTCACAACCATTTCCTGATGTATGAACTTATTAATGCTTCCAGCTTATCCACTGTTGTCAAAGAAACCTCGTACAAGTCAGTGGCCACAGCAACCTCGACAGCAGACCAAATTGAAAGCACCAGAGTTTTAGCTTGCCTGGTAGAGCACAGCTGTTTATGCTCTTCAACCCTTCCACTGCTTGCCGTCCCACTCGAACTGTGTCCCTTAGATCCCCATCGTACCATCTACCATGACTCTTCACTGGCTTCTCAGAAACTGTTGGTATTGCCTCACCATTAATGAGGAATGTTTTATCTACTACCTTTCCTTTAACTATCGAGATACTCCTTGATTTAGAGGGCTTAAATTGCATTCGTGCCCATTCGATATTATCTGTTAACTTCCCCAATAACCGATTAGTGCAGGCTACTGTTGTAGTCATGATTGTCATGTCATCCATGTATGCTCTGATTGGTGGTATTCGCATCCCAGAAGCCAAGCGCTCTCCACCTACTACCCATCTTGATGCCCTAATGATTACTTCCATTGCCATAGTAAAAGCCAGTGGAGAAATGGTGTATGCTACCATTATTTGACCTCTAAGCGTTGCCATGTAGTGCTGAAATTTTGGAGTTGAGAAACTAAATTGCAGATCTCCAAAGTAGGCTTTCGCTAAATTTGTTATTGACATTGGTACTCTGAAAAAATCGAATGCTGCCCACAGAAGCTCATGTGGCACTGAACCATATGCATTAGCCAAATCCAGGAATGTCACATGGAGCTCCTTCCTCTCCTTTTTTGCTGACTGAATTTGTTGCCAGATAACATTGATATGTTCTAAGCATCCTGAGAACCCTGGAATGCCCGCTTTTTGAATTGAAGTGTCAATGAAGCCATTCTTTAATAATAATAATAATAATAAAATAGTATATTTTACTCTGAAGTTTATTTTGAAGCAACTCTATTTCTAGTGCAATTTTTTCTTAGTCAAGTTCTATTTCTCCCTCTGATTTTTGTTTTTTCAAAATACTCTATTTTCTGTTGAAGACTCATATAGGGAACGCATTTCACCCTGTGTCATTTGTCACACATGCTTCATGCCACAAATAAAAAGGAAAAGTTGTCTCTACACTGCCCACCTCTGTATCACTGCTGTGTGCAGACTCTTCTGTAGGCCTTTCTGTACATGTGGACTCCTGTCAGAAATAACAGGCATAAGCACAAGTATAAATCAATTAAAACCATCAATTAAATTAAAGTACTTCCTCCAAAGGACAGTCATCTGAGAAGTTTTCTTCACTCTCCAGTGCAATGTGATTAATAACTCATGGCAAAATATTTTACATTAACAGGTTTTTCATTTTTTACTTTCACAAGACAAAGCAATTTATCATTACTCAAGATTTATCAGTTGAAATGACTAAACCAGCCAATTTGGATTATAGGCCTACTTAATTTAATGCAGCAACAAATTATTTCACAGTGTACAAAGATAATTTAAATCTCATTTCCCAGTAATGAAGGTGTTGCTGCTACTGGTCCCTGATGTGGGTCTGGAAGAACTGAACCCAGAGATGCCCTTCACAATAGGGCAATTCACCTTCAACCCGAGGGTCAGCTCTTCTGCCAGGGTGCAAGAGAATCGTTTTTTTTTTTTTCTCAGCCTTTTTCCTGGTTGCTTTTATAAACAGACAATCATTTATTTAACATTGCCTTTTTAGAAGAGACTAGTAGGCCTGTAAGGCCTAGTAAAAATTACCATTAAGTAGAATATTTTTGTACTTCACTTTCACCATGTTCATTATAGTGTGGTGACTCTGACATTACAATGAACAAAGTAATTATGAAATTATGAAAAATAAAAATAAAATAATAAGTTATTAAAACATCTAACACAAACGCATTTAATTTGTCTTCTACTCTTGCCAGCACTCTCTCCTGGCTTTTGCACACATTGAGGTGCTCCTGGCGTTTTAATTACAGAAATTTGACATAACCTTCCATTAAAAGTGCTTGCTCTGCTTGGGAGAAAAACTGGGCGTGTTCTTTGGCCATGCTGAACAGCCAATAGCAGAGTTGCCACTGTTTCTGCTATCGATACATGTCCCCTTTTAAATCAACGCGAGAATGCGCAGTTATCTCAGATGACTCAATCCAGCTATACTAATCATAACCAGCAGACGTGTTCGAAGAACCTAATTAGCCGGATCATGATTAGCTCGATAATATTATCTCGGATGTCTCGTTTGATCTCGGATGTTTTAAGCAACGTACGAAAAACGGGCCCCAGACCAGGTTGGACATGGGAATATCCCAAACTAAATGTCATACTTCAGACCACAAACCACAAGTTCCTGCCAATCAAACCACAAGTTGACCACATGATGTCGCCACGACACAACGAGAGCATATCATGTTTTTTTGTCAATTATGAAAACAGAATAAAAACAACATTTAAAAACAGCTGATGAAAAGCAAAAAGGAAGGTATTATTACATAAACTTAATGTCTACAGTTTGTTTCATGTTTAGGCTTTATGAGCAGGATTTGCCGGAAGCCAGTGATTAGTTTGTTTTAAGTATGGATATTTTTCTTACAAAAACCCATTGATTCACTTCAGAATGCTCTTATTAACCGACTGGTGTTGTATGGATTACTTTGATGGATGGGTGTGCTTTTTGGAGCTTCGAAAAGGCTTTATTCAATGTCATTCAAAGTCAGAATATTATTTAATATAAATCCATTTGTGTTTGGTTGAAAGAAAGTTATATGATGGCTTAAGGATGAGTGAATTATGGAATAATTTTCATTTTCTTTGGTGAGCTTTTCCTTTAATCAATGTTTAGTTATTTTAGTTCAAACATTTTGAGTAAATTGCAATATATTTTTTTGACTAAATGGAAAAGACCATTTATTTGTTTTGTTTGTTATGTTGTACAATTAAAAGCCTGTCTGCAACTAGCACAGCACAAGTAGATTTTTACTGCACTGGCATTAGCAAAGTTATATTTCTACATTAAATACTTCAGCACAATGGTAACCAATAGAAATTCAACATAACAGAAACTCTTTTAAATGTCAAAAATAACATTAACAGGTCTTTCCCTTCACCCAAATTATAAATAAAATAAATAAATAATTCAGTGCAGGAAAGCTGCACTAAAATCATACAGGTTTGGAATGATATGAGGTAAATTACAATGCATTAAATCTTGTGGGCATATTGTTGCATTTATTTTATCTTTTGATTTTTGGGTTAAAGTAGCACCCAGGCATTTCTTGGTGAGATTGATATCTTGGTGAGTTTACACTCTTGTCTCTTTCTCTCCACACAGGCTTGTTTATAAATGGTTTCTCCTTTTGTATAAGATCAGCTACACCACAGGCATTGTGGGCTATACTGTAGTTATGTTCACCCTCTTTGGCATCAATCTTATATTTAGGTAAGTTATTAAGCTTCATGTTTTAACACTGAATCTTTGGGGTCGCTGACTATAACATTGTGTTTTTAAAAGCATTAAACTCTAACTACAGGTAATTTTGTTTTCACCATTTTTTAAATAATGTTTTTACCTAAGTAAACGTGACAAATGTAGAACAAAGTACTCAACTCAGCTCAACTCAACTCAGCTTTATTTATATAGCACCACTAAAAACAACAGACCAAGGTGCTGTACAACGAACGTCATCAAGATTCCGCACCAAGTACAACATAGATTACAATTACAAACAAATCACTGAACATATCAAACACAGCACACATCAACTACAGTTATAAGCCAAGGAAAAAAAATATGTTTTGAGTTTAGCTTTAAACTCATGAAGTGAAGAGGCAGATCTAATAGGGGCAGGGAGGCTGTTCCAAAGTTTTGGTGCAGCCACGGCAAAAGCTCGATCTCCTCTAGTTTTTAATCTGGACCGCGGAACAGTTAATAGTCTCTGGTTGGATGACCTAAGAGACCTTCCCGAGTTGTGACTGGATAGAAGGTCAGACATATATACAGGAGCCAATCCATTCAAGGATTTAAAAACCAGCATCAGCACTTTAAAATCTATTCTGTAACAGATTGGGAGCCAGTGCAGAGATTTCAGAACCGGAGTAATATGATTCCGTTTGCGCACCCCAGTAAGGAGCCTAGCAGCTGCATTCTGTACCATTTGCAAGCGGTTGAGTGGTGCACGGTTAATGCCCAGATACAAAGAATTGCAGTAATCAAGCCTCGTTGAGATAAAGGCATGTATCGCCTTTTCGAAATCTTTGAAAGAGAGAAATGGTTTAACTTTGGCTAGGAGTCTGAGATGAAAAAAACTGGTCTTGACTACCATATTAATCTGTTTATCAAATTTAAGGGCTTCATCAAAAGTCACGCCCAAATTCTTCACAATTGGTTTAACACAATCCTGTTGAGAATAATATTAGATGTCGTATAGCATTTAGTGAACATAATTCATGGTCAGATTAATTAAGGGGAAAGAGCAGAATGGTCAGATTAATTAAGGGGAAAGAGCAGAAATAATTTTTTGAAAAATGTGGATATGTATGGTATGGTTGCTGATGTACACTCACCTAAAGGATTATTGGGAACACCTGTTCAATTTCTCATTAATGCAATTATCTAATCAACCAATAGGGGATTATCACGCTGATGCGTAGTACTTCCGGATTCTGTGATCTTTGTGCACTGCCACTTCCGTTGACTCCCCGATCTCGCTGGCAAACCAGTGAAGGACTACACTAAGTTTATTTATACAGCATCCCTGGTAAATTCGTCTGATTCACTAAAGTGCCTGCTGCAAACAAACGTGCTACCTTGTTTTATTTTAAAGTTTTAATCCATTTCTTCCTTATACTCAATTCAGTCGGGAATCAATGAAAACTTAAGTAGGGTTGGCGTTGTTGGTTAGACATACAAAGTAGAACGAAGCAGTGACATAAATAGCCTTAGTCTCAGGCATTGTTGAACTGCGTCGGAAGTGGACATGCACAAAGTTGACAAATCCCGCCCATGAAACCCGGAAGCGTGATAATCCCCTATTCCATGGCAGTTGCTTCAATGCATTTAGGGGTGTGGTCCTGGTCAAGACAATCTCCTGAACTCCAAACTGAATGTCAGAATGGGAAAGAAAGGTAGGCAATTATTAATTTTGAGCATGGCATTGTTGTTGGTGCCAGATGGGCCGGTCTGAGTCTTTCGCAATCTGCTCAGTTACTGGGATTTTCACACGCAGCCATTTCTAGGGTTTAGAAAAGAATGGTGTGGAAAGCACAAAACATCCAGTATGCGGCAGTCCTGTGGGCAAAAATGCCTTGTTGATGCTAGAGGTCAGAGGAGAATAGGCCGACTGATTCAAGCTAATAGAAGAGCAACTTTGACTGAAATGACCACTCGCTAGTTGCAAATGAGGTATGCAGCAAAGCATTTGTGAAGCCACAACACGCACAACCTTGAGGCGGATGAGCTACAACAGCAGAAGACCCTGCCGACTGGAAAAATGTTTCCTGGTCTGATGAGTTTTGATTTCTGTTGAGACATTCAGATGGTAGAGTCAGAATTTGGCGTAAATAGAATGAGAACATGGATCCATCATGCCTTGTTACCACTGTGCAGGCTGGTGGTGGTGGTTTAATGGCGTGGGGGATGTTTTCTTGGCATACTTTAGGCCCCTTAGTGTCAATTGGGCATTGTTTAAATGCCACAGCCTACCTGAGCATTGTTTCTGACCATGTCCATCTCTTTATGGCTACCATGTACCCATCTTCTGATGGCTACTTCCAACAGGATAATGAGCCATGTCACAAAGCTTGAATCATTTCAAATTGGCTTCTTGAACATGACAATAAGTTCACTGTACTAATATGGCCCCCACAGTCACCAGATCTCAACCCAATAGAGCATCTTTGGGATGTGGTGGAGCTTCGTGCCCTGGATGTACATCCCATAAATCTCCATCATCTGCAAGATACTATCTTATCAATATGGGCCAACATTTCTAAATAATGATTTCAGCACCTTGTTGAATCAATGACGCATAGAATTAAGGCAGTTCTGAAGGCGAAAGGGGGTCAAACACAGTATTAGTATGGTGTTCCTAATTATCCTTTAGGTGAGTGTGTGTGTGTGTGTGTGTATATATATATATATATATATATATATATATATACACACAGTCGTGGCCAGAATTAATCATACCCCTGGTAAATATGATAGAAAATGGCTGTAAAAAATAAATCTGCATCGTTTATCCTTTTGATCTTTCATTCAAAAAATTGGCAAAATTCTAACCTTTCGTTTAAGTAAAAGAATTGAAAGTGGGGGGGAAATCACATTATAAAATAAATGTTTTTTCTCAAACACGTTGGCCACAATTATTCATACCCCTAGAATCTTTTATGAATGAAATGTCTATGAAGTATATTCCCATTAATATTTACCTTTTTTAACACACTAGGGTGACTAGGAACATGAAATTGTCCAGTCATGAATTCTTGTTTCACAGGAGTTTAAATATGAGGAAGCACAAAGGCCAAATTTCCTGAATCATCCATCACAATGAATAAAACCAAAGAACATGGTTCTGATGTGCATCAAAAGATTGTTGAGCTTCACAAAATAGAAAGTGGATGTAAGAAAAATAGCTAAAGAATTGAAAATTCCCATTTTGACCATCAGGGAAATAAGTAAGAAGTTATAATCAACTAAAGATGTTACGATTCTGCCAGGAAGAGGATGTGTGTCTATATTTTCTTAATGGACGGTGAGGATGAAAGTTTGAGTGGCCAAAGACACTTCAAGGATCCCAGATGGAGAATTGCAGAGATTAGTTGAGTCTTGGGGGTCAGAAAACCTAAAAAAAAATTATCAAACAACCCCTGCATCCCCACATGTTGTTTGAGAGGGTTTCAAAAATCCTCCTCGCTCCTCCAAAAACAAATACAAAACTCTAGCATATTCAGTGGTCAGACACAACTGGATCTTCAAACAGGACAGGGTTCTGTGGTCAGTTGAGACTTAAAAAAGAGCTTTTTGGCGGCAAACATGCTAGATGGGTTTGGTGCACACAAGGGTACAAAGTACCCCATGTGTACAATTTAATATACCATTGGATCTTTAATGTTGGGGGCCTTTTCTGCAGGAGGTCCTGAACTTCTTCTTCAGATACATGGCATTTTGGATTCTATCAAATATGGATATGGATTCTAAAAAATCAAAACCTGATGGCTTCTGATAGAAATCTTATAATGGGCCGTGGTTGGATCTTCCATCAGGACAACAATCCAAAACAAACATCAAAATCAAAAGAAAAATGTGTTGGGGAGCACAACATGAAGCTTCCGCCATGACCGTCCCAGAACCTGACCTGAACCATATAGAAAATGAGTGGTCTGAACTGAAAAGAAGAAGCACCAACATGGATCTGGGAATCTGAAGGATCTGGAGAGATTCTGTATTGAGGAATGGTCTCTGATCTCTTGTCAGGTGTTCTCCAAACTCATCAGGCATTATAGCAGAAATCTCAGAGCAGTTATCTTGGCAAAAGGAGATTGCGAAACGGTATTTAATAAAAGGGTATGAATAATTGTGGCCAACATGTTTGGAGAAAAACATTTATTTCATAATGTGATTCCCCCCTAGCCTGGTTCAACCAGACTCTAGTACAAAACTTTTACTTCCTTGTAGGCGGGTTCTCTGTTAAAGTTCAAAACTATTGGATCTGCCCAGAGTCACTCAGGATCTGCCATAGCCAATCGCTAACGTGTGGTCGTGACGTATGTCATGCGCCGAAACGCCTGGTAACAAGAAGTCCGAATGATCAGTGGATTATGTTTACAATAGGATTTCAGTCAACGAGAGCTGCAGGTTTTATTAATATAGGAACAATTATTAATTCGAATTGTATATCTGACACGAAGTACAGTGATGTATTCATTCAAAGGTCGAAGCTGTGCCTAATTACAAATACGCCGCTGCGGTCGTTTCTGATCTGCCGCAAATGCTGTACAGTGAATGATCTCTCTCTATCTGCAGATGTGTAATAAACAATAATTTTTCATATTACGTCTTATTGTTTCTTAATTACCTTAATTATGGTCTTAAAAGTTTGTGTTTGTACATTTTTTATGGCATTTTTATTAAAACAAATTAACCATTGACATCTAAAACTGAAAATCAAATGATGGTCTTCAAAGTATGGGTTTTCACATTTTTATTTATGACAATTATTTGAAAAAAATTTCAACCAATTTGTATGATTTACAACATGTAAAACTGACACATCAACCTCCTGCACGAGTACACAAAGGGGCTCAAAATGTTATACTCATCACAAGAATCAGTAAATTTACTGTTGGGAATATGGGCTACTACTGACAGGACTCCTGAACGGATCTTCAACAATAGTTTAGCAGCCAGGACTCGGGGCTTCCAAACACCAGGCTAAAGCGTCCGTCCAAAATGTCTCGGTCATCGTGCACATCGAGCTGCCCAGCATAAACTTCCAACCTTTTTGCCTCCTTCACGTGGTCCTCATTTAGTGCAACAAGAGGGGAGACGACAACAATCCGGCTTTAAATTCTGAATATTTGAATCATTACAGAAAAAAACATTTTTTCAAGCTGGATCAAGCTCATGTGCAATGGAAGGACGTTTCTGACTGTTTTTATAGAAACTGGAGCTTCTACCGGCAGCTGCAGTGATGCATTGACTTTACTAGTCGGTGATTGGCTCTTATTTAGAAGGCGGGACTTATTCTGCCATATTGAGCTTTGCACTTTTCCCCCATTCAAAACGATATGATATGATACTTCTTGTTATTCTATAGTCTTTGGTTATACACAAATGTGGATGTCCACATTTAAGCGTTTCATACAATGGGCTTAAACCCCACAGCGCATTTATTTCACAAACTGACAGTCGAGGTAAGACTGTCTATAGGCAAGGCAAGTTTATTTATATAGCACATTTCATACACAATAGCAATTCAAAGTGCTTTACATAGAAGAAATTAAAATAATCAAAAGAAATCAGAATAATTAAAACAGTTTAGAATAAAAAATAAGAAATAATGAAAAATACACATTTTACACATTTTTGATTGCTTTCTGTTTTATACTTTTATCACAATTTGAATAGCAATTGTTTTTTTCATGCTACTAAAAGGAACAATGTGTTGTTGACTGCTCATTCAATGGCTTGTTTTATTGATTCAGAAATAATCTATTTTGTGACAGAACATCTGACTGCACAATTGCTTATTAAAACAATTTATTGCAAATCAGGCTTTGGAATCAACATGGTTTCTTAAGTGTTGCTGCATTATGGGTTTTTTTCACATAAAGTGTGCAAAGCAAGCTTGCTGTAAAGCTTGTGAACAAACAATTATACCCTGCTGACACAATCATGGTAAAGGGTTTGATAAGACAGAAATTATGGAACCTATACACAAATACATAGTAATAAACAGAAGTATTTACATACAAATATTTTTACTGAATTTGTAAAAATCTTTTTTGGGCATTAAGTGTACTCTGAGAGTGCTGGTGGATGCAGACAAATAGCTGAGTTAGGTCGTGTACCCCAATCCACACACCATCCACTACCCATATGTGAAATCACTCCCTTGTTCCTGAAAGTACATGCGTGTTTTGTATTATATGAATGTTAAATATGAACTTTTTGGGACACAGCTTGTGAATCATTAAAGTGAGAACTGAATTAAAGTTTTTTTTAATGAGGTTTAAATCAGAAAACCTTCTAAAATCTGTTGAAATCCTCTCAAATAAAAATAAAAAATCATCTCACGGTAATCAAATATATTCACAAGGTTTTATATCACTGACAAAATATTATACCAATATATCACAGATTCTTAACCCGGGGACACGCTTAACAACTATAAGGCCGATTATGAATGTAATTTGAAATGACTGATCATGTCCAAACATCCCTATGTCGGAGATGGTTGCATTCAGTCTGTGTTCAAAATCTGCTCCAGTCGTTGTAAATTGTTCAGAATGTTTCAGCTAGTCGTTAAGTGTGTCCCCGGCTTTAGTCATAATAATTTTCACAAAACAATTATCAAATACTTGAAAAAACTGACCAGTTGACTGTATTTGCAAATGTTGATGACTGCATTGAGTAATTAAGAACTAATAATTTATGTTGAGTCTTATGTCACCTCCCTTTATACTTTTAGAATAAAGCCAGAAGATGCCATGGACTTTGGTGTGTCCCTGCTTTTTTACGGCCTGTATTATGGTGTACTTGGTCGGGATTTTGCAGAGATGTGTGCAGATTTTATGGCATCTACAGTTGGGGTAAGTGCTTGAATTAATGGATAAACATCATGTTGCTTTTACCTGTTTCCAGCCATCCTCCAAATTTTTGACACAATGGCTTATCTGAGCACTCACAAGTTTTTTTTCACACTTTGATACAAGAGGTATTGATTAGTCTGATTTCAAGTTTGATTCCATCCCCTAACCGGTTTTCAGTGAGATATTTACCAAGCTATAATTATTTTTATTGAAATTTTTATTGAAATTATTATTATATTATTTATTTTATTATGTCATTGTCTATTAAATGCTTTTTCAAGACAATCTCAGCAGAATTCTAAACACAATTATCTCTGGTAATCATGAAAAACTGGAAAAGACATGGGAAAAAATATTGGTCAAAGAGTGTATGAACCCTGATGTACAGATCTATTGCTTCAGTTTTACAGTGCATCTGGAATGCCCACTAAGCACCTGTCAGACAGCATCTGTGCTGTCTGTGGTCAGCCTATTCTTGTGGATGTGAGTGAAGAGGGGATCATAGAGAACACCTACAGACTCTCCTGCAACCATGTGTATCCTTTACCATTTTTACTGTTGTTAATTTATGTCTGCAATCTGCAGGGTTCGTACAGACTATGTACGTTTTGAAAAATGCTTGTTTTTAACTTATTTTTTCGAAATGTCAAATCAACCAAATTTCAGAAACTTCCCTGTCTCATTTTTTATTTTGTTCATATTTTTTTCTGGTGAAAGACGCGCATAAATATTGATATAAGCCAAAATATTAAATGTCATGGGTGAATATTGGGTAATCCACTATTTTGTGGAGGGGTGTACATTTTTAGCCTTTGATTTGGTGTCATTATAATTAAAAATGGAGATTGGTTGGTTGGTAAAGATCTACTGACTTTAGCAATCTTTGTTGCATTATATGACAACGATGACAGTTCAAAAATGGAAAGATTTTGGTTCTTAAGAAATTTATCTTTTGGTATCTTCATTTTGGTCCTATATGCTTTAATTAGAGTGAAATTGGGATCTTAATATGTCTTCAAGAATTGATCAACACATTTTCAATGTTCAAAAACTAAATGATGGCCATTTATATTACAGCTTATAATTTTTTTCTCTTAAAGAGGATTGTCTAAATTCTCATTTCTGTCAGTGCCATAAAGTCCCAAGTTTGTGTGGCTGTATGATTTTACATTCTGGTTATTGGCAAACTTTTCTTTTGGTATGTTAATTTTTAAGGCTTTCAGTCCCATTGATATGGGGATCTCAATGCATCTCAGGCAAACTTATTTTTATATTCAATATTATTCATTAATAAGAAATCCTTCTTTAAATACAGTAAGTATTTGATGTTTGCTTATTCACTATGAAAGTAAAATAATGCCAAATGTATTTTAAACAAAAAAAAAAAAAAATTGCTGAATTGCACTAATTGATAGACACAAAAGTTGCATTTAAGTTTTCCCAATTGCCCTGTGAGATTATAACGTAATTTCCCCTCATGCTAATATACAAATCAAGCATTAAATCTGAGGAAGATATATTTCTCTCAGTTGTTAAGTTGCCTTAACTTTACATTTGAAGTTGACTTCAAATAGTCCAAGTGACTACAGTGGCTTTAAGTTTATCAAGCGACGAGAATACTTTTCGCAAAAAAACAAACAAAAATAACGATTTTATTTCTAACTATTCATGTCCTTCACTGTGGGCCGTGAGATTTCACATAGTGGAACTGCGCAAAGCTTTGATGCACGTCACACGTAGGCTCATTATTGGCCGACGCTGGTCGTGTGTGATGCATGTGACGCACAACCTAGAAGCTTTGCGCAGTTTCACTACATGAAATCTCGAGGCCCACACAGAAGGAAATGAATAGTTGAATAAAGTCTTGAATGAAGTGAATACATTTTTATTTGTTTTTTTGCACTCAAAAAGTATTCCCGTTGCTTGATAAACTTAAAGATAGTCACTGTAGATCCACTGTAGTCACTTGGACTATTTGAACGCTGTCTTTAATTTTTCTGGGCCTGCCAGTTTCGATCCCTTAGAAGCCCATGGAGAAGTGAAAACTATATTAATTTGAGTATATTAATTTAACTATAGTAAAATTTATATTAAACTATATTAATTTAACTATAGTCAAAACTATATTAATTTGAGTTCCGAAGATGAACGAAAGTCTTATGGGGTTGGAACAACATAAGGGTAAGTAATTACTGACATAATTTTCATTTTGGGGTGAACTATCCCTTTAACGTACTGTAGCTCAATAGATTAGTAAAGTGATACAAAAAACACACTCTATTGGTAATGTAGGTCAGTGTTTCCCAACCCTGTTCCTGGCGGCACACCAACACTGCGTGTATTCTTTGTCTCCCTTATCAAACACACCTGATTCAACCCATCAGCTAATAATCAGGTGGGTTAATGAGCTGATGGGTTGAATCGGGTGTGTTTAATTAGGGAGACAAAGTAAACACGCAGTGTTGGTGTGCCGCCAGGAACAGGGTTGGGAAACACTGATGTAGGTTATACTATAGGCTATACAGGCAAGCAGATACTGGCATAGAGTTGGTTTTATGTTGGGCGTTCGATATTTACAAATTTAGGGGTCGTCTCTAAAGTTACATACAACATTGCTATACACGTTTCTAATTTCAATCCACAAGTTTCCGAGGGGCGCTCATGTAAAAAATAAAGTGGGTGAAACTTCCGGTGAGGCGGCGGAAGTAGCATTCCAATGGTATTTTGTGTGTTAGTTAGCGAAGAGGCTAGCTGTTTTTCGGAGAATTATTTTACTATTTAAAGACGCAAATCTTTGTGAGAGATGTCGTTACGGAGCTCAGGGACAACATGTGCTGTTTGCGGTTGTATGTATAACCGGACTAAACTAATTCAGTGGCTTAAACGGGATTGTTTTGAACATAAGCTGAAAACGAAATCACAGTGATCCTACCAACGACTGAAGTTTCCATCAACCTCCCAAAAGACAACGAATCATCCTGTGTACATTTGTTTAAAATCTTAATATTCTATAAACTCTATCAGCATGTGTTTGCTGTTCACTACTGATGTTACACCTAAACTCAGGATCAAAGCCTGTGTGACAGATACCAAATGTGCCAGTTAATGTATTCAAGTAGCACATTCATTTATAATTTTGAATAAACTCCAAAGCACAATGACTAAGTGTGTATTTTTTAATTTTAATGTGTTGTCAGCTCGCACACTGTCTGTCAACATGCCTTGATCAGTATTGATAATTAATAATGTTATTATAATACTCCCAATCAACTACTGCGGAGGTAAAGGTACTGTTATTTCACCCTTTTGAATTTCGTTGAGGTTGTGTTCCCACATCGTTAGCTAGTTTGGATCGCTATAACTTGAATGACTGTCAACTGTTGAATGAACGAGTGTCAAGCATGTCAAGTAGCGCATTGTTTACTTCAAACCGGAAGTCGCGCCCACTTTTGACGCAAGGCCTCATGGGGCGTAGGAAACTTGTGGATAGCTTTTGAAGAAAATGACTTGGTCACAAAACCAACTGTATAGTGTTAATCTAGGTGTCAGGTATGATGGTTCACACCTTTTAGATCTTTGATATTTATTAATATAAACTGTCAAATCATATTGTCGCATGTAGCCCGCAAAGTAACTGCCCAGTAATAATGTAAAGAGGGAGGAAATTATGCAACAGGTGAGTGAATAGTCAACACAATTTTGTTCTGATTCAGGTAGAAGATTATATTGATAAAGAAATAGTTCTCTTTGTAGATTGTTTCAATTAGATTATCAGATATCACAGATATCAAAATATTACATCCAATAATCCAAATGTACAAAAAGAATTGTGATTAGATATTCAATTTGACCCAAAACACAGAATGTGATTCAGATTTTTTTTTTACAATAAACCACTTTTCCTTCCAAAAAAAAAACTGTTCAACATTTGGAAATGAAGAAACCAATTAATTGACTCAGTTAATCAGAGTTTGTGAATCAAATAATTCATTTCAAAGAGTTGTTGCACTCTTTCGTTCAGTTCAAGTTTTTTTTTTTTAAGTCTCTCCTTTTCTAAATCAAAACAAAACGAATTCGATGAATCAAAGGCTAATGTGTCGGGAAAAAAAAGAAAAATTGGAATTTTCCTACCAATTGATGATTTCAAATACAGTTAAAAAGGGCAAATGGGTCCTTGGGCAGCTCGCCATTTGCACACATTTAATTGCGTCCAATATGCAGCCGATTCCTCTTCAAAGGATTATGTTTGCCACAAAACGGGAAACTCGCAGAAAGTAGAAGGAAAGAACAAAAAAAACCCAACCTTCCAAAATACAAGGCAAACAAAATAATTAACCTTTGATTTAGACATATCCATAACAAATCTTATAAAATGGTTAGTTCGAATCCTTGATTCTGATTGGTCAAGAGCTGTGCTTTATTCACGGTAAAACACAGCTATGACCGCTTCATCCAATGGTTCTATTGATCGCTGCGCAACACTGCGGTTCTATGTTGTTTTTATTTGAGCTTTCATGCATTTTAAACATTGGAACGTTGTTGCTGTTCACGCTTGGGGACTATTTTTTCTAGTGGAAGGAAGGCTTTTAGTGATTTTACTTCAAGAAAGTTGCACTAATACATTGTTTTTTACTTTATTATCGTGTGGCAACCGTTTTATAAAAGCAATAAGGTACTCGAGGCAACAGCCTCTCGTATCTTATTGCTTACATATACACTCATATCAAATGACACATCAATACAACTTTTCAACAGTTATTAAACACATCGACACTTAATAAATCACTTTTTAAAATCACTTAAATCACTTTTTTTTGTCTCATTTCATGACACTTAGCAATTTTACACGTGGTAGCCTTAGCCTACAAACTAATTAGTTAGTTTCTTGCTATGCTATTAATTAGCTCTTGTAATGTGCCTATTCAAACTCAGCTCATACTGAATCATTTCAAAAACTTGACATTAATGTCTTGCATTGACATCAGATTAATATCTGAAAATTTACTCACCAAAGTCACATAAAATCACTATTTTCCTTATGCGAAATAGTGATTGTATGTCAAATGAAAACACTACAGGCTGACGTATCAACTTTATAAGTTTAACTTTCCAAGTACACCCAATCACAACTTTTCTTTAGATTAACATTTAATGCAGTCTGTGCTGCTGTCTCGTCTAATTGGCTCTGATCTGACTCTCTCATCTACTCATTTCTGAAAGCAGTGCCGGTGCGACCTGTGAGCTACTATTGACTCATAGGGGTGTCAGTCACTGCTGTACAGTCAGCGATTGGACGAATCTCTTTTCCTTCTAGAATACTTTTTCTTTTTTCCTTTAACTTTTTTAAAACTTTTTTTTAATACTTTTTTCAACTTTTAACTCTCTATTGGTAGCCTGGGTTGCCCGTGTTACACTATCCCTGCTTTGAAGATATGGAGGTCCCTGTGCTGTGAAGTCACTGCAGGAGGATATCCAGCAGGCATTTCAGGACAGATGGACAAGAGAGAAGTAGGCTCCTCCAAGAAAATGTGGCTCC